AAAATGGTATGTTAATAATAAGTGCAATATGTATTAAAAAATGGTATCGCCATCTAGCGGCGAACACAAAACGTATTTTTCATTTATATTAACATTTGTTTACTTTTTCTTTTTTCATATTAAAAAAGCATGGCGCCATCTCTCGGCGAACCGCCAAAGTTTCTCGAATAGTTTCTACCTTACTATGATAAATGGCGCCATTACCACGAAAATATTCAAAATACGAATTCTCTACTTTTCTCTGCATACAAATGTAATTTTACGTTCTATCTACTATAATTCGTCTAACAATTGTTCATCGCCTAGTTTTTCAAATAAATAAAAATATGGAAAAACGTAGCGCCATATTTCACGACAAGCTTGGGCGTTACGTCGAAAGATGGCGCCACAATTTCCAGTATTTCTACTTATCTAAAAAAAACTTATCACTTTATGATCAATTACATTCAATTGTTAAAAAAGGTGACTGTTCACGGAAATTATTGTCACGAATACGTTGGATTTATGTTATGAGTTGGATTTTTATTCTTCTTCTATAATTCGATTAAAATTTCGCCGATCTCTGATTGATCGCAGAAGAGAAGAAAAATACATTCCTCGGCTGCGATAAGTTCAATCACGGTGGTATTCCGTCGAGAATTCGACCAATTATAGCCACATCCGTGCTCAATTATTCCGCCCGCTAATCGAGTTACAAACAATTTTCATTTACACGGTTCCGATACTTTTTCGCCCTTTACCGAACATCGCGGTATCGTAGACAACGCGACCGGAAATGGGTTTTGTAGAGTTTTGTTTGCGGACGAAAGTTTGAGTGGTTTCTCGGGTGAAAATCAAAGTATCGGTTGAACGAAGCTGGTGAATAGCAATCGACAAAATCGACGTCGATAAATGTGGGACGATATTTATTTCGGACTTCCTGTCCAATAATGTTAAATTTATGAATGTCCAGCTTGTGTAAAAATATATGAAATAGACCCAATGATATTTACAAGTTTAATCATTCATCAATAATAAAATGATTGAAATATAGAATTTTAGTTTACTATTCATTTCATAGAATACGAATCTTAATCGCAATGTTAGCGATGAAGATAAATCAATCGATAAATAGCTTGGCTGCAATTATAGGAAATGAACCCTATTAGTTTTATGACTATAATTTGTATTATTAATCTAATAAAAGTAACAATATTAATAAGAAACGGTCTTCTACTGTACAAACAAATTATGTATAATTTTCTATACTCCACGTAGTTATAAAATTACAAATAATTTATTCGTAGAATAAAACTATTATTTTTTTATTATTAATAGTATTACGAAGACAGACCAAAATTAATAATTTATTATTGAAATCAAAAATAAAAATCAAATCACATTACCCACTATTACGTATAAACTGTAATCGATAGTCTGTTGTTGTATGATATTGCATCTGTTATTGAATGATTTTGTTTTTAATGTCAGCGTAACTCTTATCAATTGTTGTCAAGATTTCTCGATGCTAAGAATAAATAGAGTATGGCGTGACAGAATTATCACTCTTTTAGCTGGTCTGGTTGTACTGTGACCTAATAAGGGGTGAAACGGTCACCCACGTGACGAGGGTCGAGACGTTCGAACGTCCAACTTGGGGAAGGTTTCGTTATACCGTGAAACACCATCTGTCTTGGAAGCAAAAGGCTTTCTTTGGCGAAGCACGCTCTATGAAATTAAGGAACAATGGATAATTGAATTACCTTGCAACGATTATGTGCTACGGAGCCCTGGGTAATATTAACCACAACACGTTACGCTGGCAATAGTGGTTACACGTCATTCTCGCGTCATTAATAATAACAGTACGATAACAGTAACATTTGCGAATAAACTGATCGATTGCGTATTTATTAAAATAAAAATATTTAAGGAAAACAATGATATATAAACGGGTCTCGGTAATTTTTATTCACGAAGTAACAAATTCTGTAGCAGTTGAACGTTCTCCATTAAATTTGATTTCTATATAAAAATTAATTTGTTCATCTGGTAATGTTATATATATCGTAACGTATTTGAGGGATATTATTAGCTACCAACCAATGTTATTTAATTTTAATATAGTCACCGTGACCACGGCTATATTTACTAATTTAATGTTAATTTAAATATCGCCCATAATGCTGATCACGTAAACGTCAGCGGTATCGATCAACCCTTTTGATTCGACGATTAATTAACGCGGTTATTTGATTTTCTGCCAGCTGAATCGCGATGTTTCGGCTGACTAAAATCCCACGTGCCCGGACCATTGATTATCTGTCACAAAAACACCACTCCGATATTCTTCCCACGCGAGGACAGGATTTCGTCAATCGACGATAAACATCCCCGCCGGGAAATCTCCGGAAAACATTCGCTAATATTCTACTTTCCCAAGCGTTCATACTTAGGCTCAGATGTTTGCCCAGCGTTCCCGAATCTCGAACGACTGTTTTCCAATCATAGTTTCCCGGCATTTCCCGTATTTAAGAGCCAGGATGAAACGTCCTGGACAAGATAGAAGATAGAAGAGGAAATAGAAAAGGTAGGAGAGGGTGTATATAAGTTGATAATTCCGGATAAACCAAAGATATATAGAGCGACACATCAATTTACAAAAGCAGCGAATCTAGAAATACGAGTAAAACGAAAGACGATTCGCTTTTATGTTATTTTGATGAGATTCTTTATTTTCTCTATTTTTCTTATGTTATATACAGCTATGTAATTAATGTGTAGAATTGGTAAATTGTAAACATTGTATGTGTAAGACTTGTGAATTGTACAAGCAAGACCGGACCAAGAAAAATGCTGATAGTCCGACAGGACTATCGCTCGAATAATGTTACAAGAAAAGTGTAAACGGTCCATTAGGACCACACTATAAATAATGATAATTAAAATTCAGACGATCGAGGTGGATCCTGTCGGAGACTGCGATCCACGATCCCGAGTCGTCGGCAATTGGAAGCCACGCCAGGATCGGTAATGGAGGTACCGTGTTCCACGTTATTCCGTCACCCCGTGAGAAAGCGTTAAACTTACTTACGAACGTTAGCTGATCCGTCGTCGCCATGGATCGCGCGAGGACATCTCGGGGTCGAGGTCGTTTTCCACGGCGATCCACGAACCCGCATCGATGAATCTTCGTTCGTTCCGCGATAACGGAACCGGTATTTGTCGACGTTAGAACGCGCAATCGGACTTCGAAGATATTTTTTTTACTTGCGGGAAGATGTGGATTTCGGATGACGCGGAATCTCGAAGAGACGAAACGCTGCGAAGAAAGATCGAGATCCAGAGATAGAACTGCGAGGAGACGTTTTAAAGAGGTCCCCTTATCGATGCTCAGAATTTTATTGCCGATGGAAGAAATCGCGCGAGGAAATTGTGTCGGAGTATGGGAATTCTTTCGAAATTGGTACATTCGAAGTGTGCAAGAAATTTTTGGATACATTTTTGGTTACATGGAAATAATTCATTTTGTTTTGAAGGGAAATTGTATTCAATGTGACGTAATTAAAATATATCGGGAGATGTTAAGTGTAACTAATAAATAAATTGTTTGTTTGGGTTCGGGAAGAAGTTCGAAGTATAACGCATAAGTAAAATTGACTCTCTAAAATAAATGGCCAGCTAGAAATAAAATGAACGATTGTTAGCTTCTCCGGCATGATCGTTCGCGAGTTGTCGTTTAATTCGTGCGATTTCACCTCAATCGAGATTCGCATTAGCGTGATTATGTTCTCGAATACACTCGGCTGATTCCCACTTTTACGCGGGGCCTGTTTGTTCTGCAGACACGGGCGCGAGTGCTTTTATCCAAATTAGATCGTCTTAATGAAGAAATACAGTCACCGACGAGGCGGAGAAACTCAAAGGCAACGGGCAAGTGTCATGTGCCAAAAAGTCGCTGGGAAACTTGTTGCTCGCTGCCTCTTTCCTATTGAGTCGCCTTAATGGGAAATTACCGTACGCTATATAGCAAAGTAATTGAAAGAAAGTAGGGAGCTGAGGGAACACAATTAGTATTCAAATTGCCTTGATTCGCGGACGGTAACTGGTAAAAGAAGCTGTAAAGAGTCGTATAATTGATTTAAATGGAGTAATCCTATAAAATAATAAAAACGGCGACGCGGGGTGGTTCGAACGATCTGAATAGTGTAAACCTATTAAGTAAGTGAAACGAGGGTGCGGACTGAATTGACGAATTTGAACATGTTAATTTTATAAAATTAAAGGGTGCGGAGGAAATTAGTAATAGATT